GTGGCAAGTGGAGTGCTAACACCCTTGAAAATATTTGTGAAAATATACTAACACATGTGCACAAGGTGATATACTTGATGGTTAGCACATTTGAGCAAGGGTGGAGAAGTTAGAAGTAAAAACGAGTTAGTGTCGCTGGTTATACAGTGACCGGACGCAGGACCTCAGAGGGACCGGCGCGTCCGGTCATGTGTAACAGTGAGATGCTGGCGTCGGTCTATTGACCGGACGCTGGGTCGCTCGGCGACCGAACGCTGAAGGGCTACGTCCGTTTAAGGGGTCGGTCTGCACAGTGCTTAGGGTTATGCACCGGACGCTGGGTTGTGTCCGGTCAAGCATGACCGGACGCGTCCGGTCGATAAAAATCGGTTTTGGACCCTTACTGGAAATGACCGGACGCTGAGGGTCTAGCGTCCGGTCAACTGATCGGAGCGTCTGTTCGGTCAAGGCAGATGACCGTTGGAGTCAGACACGTGGCTGACTACGAGCGACCGGACGCTGGGGGCTCAGCGTCCGGTCAACCGACCGGAGCGTCCGGTCGACCCGACCGTTGCCCAGTGAAGAGGTAACGGCTAGTTTAGCCCCTGGGGCTATAAATAGAAGTGGCCCTCGGCCATGGCTGGGGTTGAGCACCTAAGGGGACTTAGTCTCCATGCTTGTGAGTGCTTAGGAGCCCTCCATCACACATATACTTGATAGTGATCATTCGATTGTGTGAGTGAGCGATTATAGTGCGATTGCATTGTGAGGTTGCATCGAGTGGCACTAGGTGATCGAGTTGCAAGCCGGTGGTGCTTGTTACTCTTAGAGGTTGCCACCTCCTAGATGGCTTGGTGGTGGTCTCCGTCGAAGCCCGCAAAAAGCTTGTGCGGGGCTCCGGAGAAGAGCTTTGTGAGGGGCATTGTGCTCGCCCCGCGGGAGTCGCGAAGAGCAACTTTAGTAAAGCGTGTCATTGAGCTACCCCCACTCAAGGGGTAGGTTCTTGCGGCGCTCGACGTGCGGGCTTAGCGGGTGATGCTAATTAGCCGCCGAACCACCAAGTGAGCGGTCGACACAACAGGGACTAGCGTGTTGGCAAACACGTGAACTTCGGGAGAAAAATCATCGTGTTAACCTTGTTCTTTCCATTGGTTTGCTTCCCCATTACACAAGCTTGCATTTACTTTCATATATATTAAGCTTGTGTAGTTGCTCTTGTAATTAGTTTGCTTGTGTAGCATATTAGTTACCTTCTTGCTTGTGTACCATAGAAGTAGCTCCCTTGCGTGGCTAATTTGGTTTGAGTAACCTTGTTAGTCACATTGCTTAGTTTGTGTAGCTAAGTATTTGCGCTCTCTAATTTGGCATTGGTTGCCTTGTTATTGAGCATTGCTAGTGAGCTTAGGTGGCTTTGTGCTTTTGCTTACTAGCATGTGTAGGAGCTCCCTTGTCGCTTAAAGTACTAGTGGCATAGGTTTGTGTGACCTTGCTCCTAGAATTGCTAAGGTGAGCTCTAGCTAGCCCGGCACCTTAATTGCTTAATTAGTATATTTGAAAAGTGCTAAAGAATATAGATAGAGGGGTGTAGTCTTGGCTAGACCGATAGTTTTAATTCCGCACTTGTTTCGGTTAGCCGACGCGATTAAGTTTTAAAAAGGACTATTCACCCCCCTCTAGTCGCCATCTCGACCTTTTAGGAGGCCAAGTGGATGGCCGGCCAAAGATGGAGTGGATAGCCGTGCGAACGTGGAGTGGGCGCGGGGTGGCGCTGCACGGCGTAGGATTGGTGCGCGCGGGGGACGGCGGAGTGAGCGGCCCGGTGTAGGATGGGGGCGTGGGATGACCACGATGATCAGCGGAGTCAGTCGCGCGGCGTCCGGATGGGGGAGGACGCTCGTGACGAAGCATTATCGTTTTTTATTCTTTCTCCATGTCTGGTGTTTATGGTTTCATAGCACGATTGATCATTCGATCGAGATCTTTTTTAAAGAAAAGATCCTTTTTTAAAAGAAAGTATATAAAATCTAGCCTCCATATCCTATGGGATATATATAGCCAAAAGTTACAATAATTTTTGGGGCTCTTGCATTTATACCCCTATTTTGTATCAAAATTGTGATTTAGCTCATGTTTTTTTTTTAACTTTGTGGATTTATCCATGCGTTTTCAAAACGAAGCACCACTTTGCCCCTATTCGGTCATCCTCACCCAACGGTATTAACTTTTGTATAATTCAACAAAAATGCCCTTGTGATTTTGCCCCTAGTTCTTATGAGTATTTGTGATTTTATCCCTGGTTTGTTAGGGCTATTTGTGATTTTACACTTCGTTCAAAAGATTTTGACATCAAGTATTTGATTATTATTCAAAAAATTTAACAAATTTCAAATCCCAATGTATGTAATTCACAATTTTCACACAATATTTTTTAACCTGTGTGAACTGGCCATAGCCCACAGGCCACAACAAGCCTAACTTGTTCAAACTCCAGAGACATTCATCGAATTGTTATAAAAAAAGGAAAGCAGGTCCACGAATCCACGATGGTTGCCGTGCTGCAGATCCACTAGCCTGCCGCCCACCCGCACGCGTCGAGCCGCTGCCGCGAGCCCGAGCAGCTCTGCTCCTCGCCGCGCCGGCCGGAGCTACGTCGCGCAGCCGGCCCGAGCAGTGCCTCACCGCCCCGACCCGCTCTGCTCCGTGCCGCCCGGAATAGCGTCGCCCTGCTCTGCCGCGCGCCGGCCAGAGCTGCTCTGCTCACCGCCCCGAGCCGCTCCAAGCTGCGCCGCCGCTGCCGGTTCCTCCCTAGAGTCCAGGGCATGCCCGCGCGCCGTTGCCGCAACCCAGGCCCCGCGCGCTGTCCCGAGCGCCGCTACCGCAACGCGGGCTGCGGGCCTCGCGCCGCAGCCCAGCCCCCCGCCGCCGCCGCCGAACCGCGCTCAGCTGCCTGGCCCGGTTCTTCGCCCCGACGCGAGAGAGAGCGACCCGTGCGTTTCCTTCTCAATGGATGTGGAAGAGAATGAAGAGGGCAATTTGGTCTTTTCGCCTTTGTGTTTAGGGATTTTGACTTTTTTTATTCATTTATTCCAAGTGCATTTTATGGCTATCCAAACTAGAGAGCAAACGGAGCTTTCATTTTAAAAAAAACGATGGCAAAATCATAAAATAAAAAAATAGGGATAAAACTATAATTGGACTATGGACAAGGGTAAGAACATAAATTTTTCATAACTTTTAGGCTCAGGGCCTCAAAACTGAGGAGCATAAAACAAGAAAAAAAAAGCTAGTCTCAAAGCCACAAAACTAAGGCGCATAAAACAACGAGAAAGAGAGCTTAAAGACTAAAAAAAGCTAGAAAAACTAACCTTTAGAACTTCTTCCCGCCCTTGCTTTCAACATATTTTGACTTTGCGTAGGAGTAACTTTTCATCTCACACGTTCTCAAGTGGCTCATTCATCTAGTGAAGATAGCATATATTGGCAAGTGCCTCAGCTTTTCTTCATCCAAAGATGTCTCATCAATCCAACGTCCAAGAACACTCGCACCTCCTACCCAACTAATGGGTATGGATATGAGAGAATACACTATGCCGAGTGCCAGCGGTGGCACTCGTGTGCCAGCGAACCACTACCGAGGAAAACACTAGCAGCAGCCTCGTCCCAACACGATGCCTCCAAGAAGATTTGTGACATCCAACGATGTCGTCGCCGCATGACTGAATGAATTGGTCTACGTTTTTACCCATAGAGAACTATACCAGTGCAGGAGATGCAATGAACTGATGGAGAAGGAGCAGACAAGCTGGAAACATGACGACACCTCTAGCGAGGGACACTACACCACAACACTATAATAGTGTCACATGTGTGTCGTTATAAATACACTAATACCGTTGAACCGTTGGTCAGTATAGTTGGCCCACGGATCAAAGTGTCGGTAAATATACCTTTCGCGATAAACTATATCGGTTGGTACATATACTTACCTATACGAACTCTCGGTCGGAACAGATCGGTAAAAAGGACGAACCATCGGTTGATATAAGGACGTGCCACTGGTGCGCTCTGGAAATGAAAAAAGGCCCCTCGCAGGAAACTGAAAATGAAACTGGCCCGTTCACGGCCAAATTTGTTCTGCCCAAATACCACCCTCTCCAAACCCTAAACTCTTCGTCGCCGCTCAATCTCCAGCTGCGGATCGGTCCATCGGAGTGCAGACCACGACTCGTCCTGAAACTGAAACATGGATGCGATGTGATGTTGAGAATGATTCTATTCCACGTGTTCTAGAAACGGTAGCTCGATTTTGTTGCAAAACAATGGTCACGCGGTATGTTGGGAGAAAGTGGCATGCATGAATCATCTCACACTCCAAAGCGCCAAAAAAGAAATAAAAAAATATATGATCGTGTGTGTGTGGAAGTGATAGCTCTGTTCTCTACAGAAATTCAATGCTCGCGCACGTGAATTAGCTTTACTCCCTCGTGTCACATAAAAAACTCACCGTTTATATTTCCTAAAATAAAAAAAATCTCGCGCTTTATTAGGACAAGGTTTAGTCAAACTTTGAAAACTACAAACATGAATAAAAAATTAAATTTTTTAGCTTGAAAGCATGTGCAAGCTATATGTATAGACTTGTATTTCAACATATTTGTGAAATCTTTTAGATCCAAAGGTTTTTTTTTTCAAAAACATTGGTCAAAGATACACAACCGTGCAAAATCAGATTTGTCAAATATTTCTGATAAAGGTACTTAGTAATTTTTATTTCCTCAAGACAAGAGGACGACAAAAATCAATTGATATAAGGGTTCATATTTAGATAAAGGTATACTTAGTAATTTTTATTTCCTCGAGACAAGAGGACGACAAAAATCAATTGATATAAGGGTTCATATTTAAGACAAGAGGGCCGATGGGCATCGCCTGGCATACATCTCCTTGCTCGAACCTCTCGGCAAAGGTATCGGCACTCGGCTCTCCTCCCTCTGTGACCCTTCTTTCTCGTCGGAGAAGAGATGAAGCACCTGGTGGAGGTGGAGCCGGCGACGGCGACGACCGGGCCGGCGTACCGGAACGCGCGGGCGAAGGAGGGCCTCCTGCAGGCCCCGCCGGGGCTCCACAGCTGCTGGGACATCTTCCGGTGAGCGATCAGCATCCAGCTTGATGATCTTGCCGCTAGTTCGATCTATCCTCTCCATTATACCATACGCATGGTTAATGGTTTGGTTTGCTCGGTCCTCCAATCGATGGGTTTCTGACTTGGCAGGACGTCCGTGGAGAAGTACCCCGACAACCCGATGCTCGGTCGCCGGAGAGTGGTCGACGGCAAGGTAAGAAACTAAGAATGGACTTCTTCTACCCCCTTGCAAGCTAGGTAGATGGGAATTCATATGAGCATTTTGCCGTTTCACGTGCATTTACTTCTGACCATCGCTTCGCCTCCTAGTAGAAGATAAACTGGCAACCATACTACTAGTAGTATTCTTGTTTTTTGCAAGGACACCTATATATTTGGATTATCATCGAAAGTGACACCCGTTTAGTACCGGCCGTAGTCAAACACGGGAAAATTCGACAGTTGTGTCTAACCAGAAGATGGGGAGATAACGGTCTAGATCCGTACATGTCATGGCATAGAACAAGTCAACAGCTTGCATATATAATTTACTTGGCCCTTTTTTTTGAGTGTGTGTATTTATACCTGTTGTTATCCCCTTTTTTCATGACCGTTGTTCCATGGCATGTATTTCATTATAAGAGGATTTTGGTGTTATATCCCGTTAATACGTACCAAGAAATTAAATAAATGTAACAATATAATAGTTTAGTGGAGTATATATATATTGTACTCACTCCGTTGCAATTTATAGTTTTTCTAGATACATAACTTTTATTAATTATGTATCTAGACATAATGCATATCTAGATGCAGAACAAATGCTATTCATCTAGAAAAGCAAAAAAAAAACCCCTATAATTTAGGACAGGGATGGTAGTAAACAAAACACCACAAAATGATGGGGTTACAACTTATAAACTTACAATGGTTTCTAAAACTGCAGGCGGGCGAATACACATGGGTGACTTACAAGGAAGTCTATGATGTTGTGATGAAGCTTGCAGCCTCCATTCACAGATCCGGAATCAAACAAGTACTGCACGTAATAATCACAGACACTGCATCAGCGATGTTGACACAAGACGTAACTTTTTTTTTATTATCTATTATATCTATACTTACTAATAAAGAGACAAAATTTATACCTCTTTTTTGTCCCATTATTTTGGTCTGGTCCTCCCTAACAAACTATGTGAATGTGCAAACTATCACCTCGATCTCATCTCTAGATATAGTCTGTCGCTTCGCGCTTGTCTTTCTCCTCTTCATATAAGGACAGCATTAGGATTGGACTCTGTCTACCTCATGGAGTTCAAGTTCAGCACGAGTTGACTTACAAAGGAAAGAAAAAAGAACCAGAACCGAAAGGATGAGAAGCAAACTGAATTAAAATCTGAGATCAAAATCGACTCCAAATAGATACAATTTTTTTTTGATAAAGGAAGTTTTTATTAAAACCTCAGAAGCAATACGTCAAGTTGATACAAAGCCAATATCCAGGAAAAACACCTATAAACGTGGCGCACCAACAAAAAAAAAATCATCCTCACACAAAAAAAAACTAGGTGACGACGATAAGATCCGTAGGCTCAGATGAAGATTTGTCGGCCAGACACCGCGCTCTAACTGTTGTTGTGCATTCTACTCGTCGGAGAATGATGCGGTTGAGCCCGCGCTGCCGCAGCCGTCCGCAGTGTCCTACTTCCAGGCCCAAGCCGCGCAGTCGCCGCCTCCTCCCGAGGCCGCGCCGTCTTCTCCATGGGCCCAGCCGTGCGAATCCTACGGACGGAGCAGAGGCCAACGAGTTAGGGTTAGGAGGACCAGAGGAGGCCGTTGTCCCATGTGAAAGCAGAGAGAGGAGAGGGCGGCGGACTCGTGAGGAAGCCGGCGGCAGAGGGCCGGGCGGCGCGAGCGGCGACGGGCGCCCGGCCGAGATGCATCGCGAGGGAGGTACTTGACATGTAACTGTGTGGGTCCCACTGATATGTAAAATAAATGTGCAACCGATCAATATAAAATTAAAGGCCATTTATTTTTCTGACCGAATCCGTACAAAAAAGACCTATTTTGTTTTTCTGGCCGATTCCTTTCAAAAAAAAAAAAGAACAACAGACAATTTCCCAATACGTCGGGAGAGGCTACCAATGAGACCAAACAAAAACTCAAGCACTTATTCGTCGAGAGCCTGTACAACGACAAAAAAAGCGACTAAATTATATATTCTCCTCTAGTGTAAATTACGTCGACAAAAAAAAAAACATCACAAGCATCATCTTCAAGCAAGGATCTACTAAAGCAATGGCCGGAACAACTACATCCAAGATGGCAAGAGAGTCCTGAAAAAATCTCTTAAATTCAAATAACTCAAGCTATTTTTTTAACTAAAGTCGGAACTGTACCAAACAGTGCCCTTAGTTTTGGATGCCACGTTGGGTGGTGCGGCGGTGAGCGTAGCTTGTTGGGTTAGTTTTATGTGGGTGTGCAACCTTACTGCGGTGTGAACTGTGAGAGTCATGGCGAGATAATGGTGTTGGGGTCCCGATAAGTCGAGGACTTGAGAGTTTCTCGGCTGCTTTGGTGTGAACTGTGAACCCGTGTTAGATAAGTCGAGGACTAGATGACTTGGTTTTGAGTGATTCAAGACAAAATTGAAATAGATAGCATTAGATTTATCTCGGATTGATGATTAGAACAGTATAAGTTAATAATTTGTCCGTTGCAAATTATAAGTCATTATGTGTTTCTTAGATAAGATATTAAAATCCTAATTACTTAATTGTCTTGAACTCATGGACCGTAGTCATGTGAGTTAGATAGCATATGTCCAACCAACGTACATAGTCTAATTTTAAAGCGTATTAGAATAAATAACATAAGATATAAATCATGTTGCAACGCACGGTCACATTTGCTAGTAAAAGTAAAAGGTATTAAAAAAATCCTCATTGATCATTAGTCGTTAATTCATGGACCGAGATGTATCTGTCCTCACTTTTTTTACAAGAAAGTTGGCATGCATGATCTTTCTCTCATCCCAAATATGTTCGATGGGCTAGAGAGATAGATAGATATCATTGTTAAGCTACACATACCGACCGGTTCAACCAAAAGCTTAAGTTGTTAGGAAAATGTGGACAATGCACTTATACACACTTCAACACCCCCACTCACGTGCAGCCCGAGAGAGGCGCAGCACAAACGTAGAAATAAAGCGGGTGGAGGACTTAAGTTGCCTCTACCAGGATTCAAACTCAAGACCTCTAGCTCCGATACTATGTTAAGGTGCACACACCGACCAGTTAAACCTAAAAACTTAAGCAGTGAGGAAGAGGTGGGCCATGCACTTATACACATTTCAACAATCATATTGCAGTTAATTGCAATGGGATGTCATCTAGTACTAGTGTCGTTGTTCTTCCATGATTCTTTCGGCAGGTTATTACACTGCTAGATCAATCGATCCAATTGATCAAGTCAAAGTGTCAAACATATATCTGATGATGGAGTCGTGGTTTACCAAATTCAATTCAGGGTGAAGGTTGCGGTATATACGGCGCAAACTGCCCCGAATGGATCATCAGCATGGAGGTAATCATATTATTATCATTCAAATGTTGCCTTTTGCAATTAATTATTTTTTAAAATTTCCTGCGCTGACTAAAATGGTTCGCATCCTTTTTTTTTTACCAAGCTCCCTTCTGCCCTATATATATATATGTGTGTGTGTGTTCAATCTTATTTTGTAGGCTTGCAACGCGCTTGGGGTTTGCTGCGTTCCCCTCTATGATTCTCTCGGTAAATAAATAAATAAATTGGTCACTGCTTATTAGCGTTCTTGTATGCAAATAAATCAGACGAGAAAACCACCAGCAAGTTAAGATGCTACTTGCACAATAAAGAATAATCTCCTGCGATCCAGTCTTCTGTGTGTAGGTGCTGGGGCGGTGGAGTTTATCATCTGCCATGCCGAAATCCAGATCGCGTTTGTGGAGGAAAAGAAGATCACAGAGGTAGGGCAGCTTGCTCGATCAGTCATTATTACTTGTCCAACAATTAGTGTCGGTGTTCAATTCATTTAGTAACATTTAATAATTAAATACCGGCGGGAGGAAACACTTCAAATCAAATTAGGTAGATGATATATATTCAATACCTCTCCTTATCAAAAATAAAAAAAAAAATCCCGACCCCCAATTTCCTCCAAAACAGAGGACAATTGCCTTTCACTTTTACTTCAACATTTTATTTTATTCGAAATTTCGTGCGATAAGGTTGCATTTTACACCTCTATCATATTTCACTTTAGCATTGCCAATATCCTCCAATAGATCAGCATGCTTTTTTTTTTCAATTCAAAGCATGTTTTTTTTTATCATAGATAGAAATAGATGACAATGTTTAGCTCCTATGGGCCACCCACGTTAGGCCTCGGCTTGGTCGCGCCGTAGTGAAATTATTGGCCCAACAAAAGCTCTACCCACACTTCGGCCCGCCGGCGCCGTGAGCCCCAAAGCCACCCCCACGTGGCACGTGCTTGCCGCGCCGCCGCGATGGCGCCGCAGCGGTTTGCCCATAGCCCCGTGAAGTTGGTGAGGGCGATAGGTTCTGCCCTGCCGGCGGCCCCCGCGTAGCCTGACCACGAACTGAAACGGCGGGGTGAAATCTGACCTGCAGATGTTGGATTTTCCCCATTCTTACTCCAAATTTCCAATAGCCTGCGTAACAGATCGAAACAAGTTTGTTACAGAATTCGTTTCGAGGAACTGTGCGCGCAGTGATTATTGCAGTCTAGCATTATTTTCTAGACTACCTCTTTAGTTTTTTTTAATGTAGTTGTTTATTCATATTTATAACCGTATCATACTTGTTGATTACTTTCAATGATGACAGCTCCTGAAAACTTGTCATGCCACTTCGAAGTATCTGAAAAGTAGGTACCTCCATAACATGATGTTGATTGGTTAGACGGTTCATCACTGTGGGACTGATGGTTTTTGTTTTGCTTCATTTGCCAGCGGTCATAAGCTTTGGAGGGGTCACAAATGACCATAAAGATGAAGCTAAAAAACATGGCCTGTCCATTTTCTCTTGGGAGGAATTCCTGATCATTGTAAGCATTGGGCTTCTTCAGCTTACTTTGTAGATTACAGGTGTTCTAGTAGAATGTTACGGCGATAAGTGCTTCATGACACCTTTTTTTCTAGGTAAAATAATCTATATTACTTTTACCAAAGTGGCTGAAACTATCTGGCCAATTTTGCCTTATTTGTATCTTAATTATTTTTCTTGGATGGCTAGTTTCATATGTGCTAAAGGTATTCGCAGACAGATATGTGAAGAACCACATCCCGAATGAGGAAACTCAACATATCAGCCAAAATTTAAAATTATATGCCAAGAACAAAGACTAGCACGTACTAACTACAGCAACTGTTTTCAAACGTGTGCAGATATGTCATATCTTTTACAGGGTAGATTATCTATACATATTTGTGCCTCCCTTTTTATACCTGGACTAGAAGGCTGGAACTCCATAGTGAAACCTTTATCGCAATGGCCAAAACTAATTTTACCAACTGGGGTTACATGTTATAGATAGAAGTTTGTATCGCTTCCATAATTTTACTACCATGTTGTACTAGGAAAAAAAGATAAAACTTGTGCGAGTGCTTGGTGCTTTCAAGTGTTCAACTCCATACACAAAACAATAACTTGTTGAAGTAAATGACATTTGTATATATCACTCAAGTAAATCTCATGCTACTGACCTATCATATGATGCGCAAACTCTTGACTACCTTGTATGCTTATAGGGTCGCTCTCATAATTTTGATCTGCCTGAAAAGAAGAGATCTGACATCTGTACAATAATGTATACAAGCGGCACAACAGGAGACCCTAAAGGAGTTATGATATCAAATGAAAGCCTTCTTGTAAATATCGGGGGCCCTGATTCTGTACTTCAATATAATGGTGACGTTGTAAGTAGAATCTCGAATTTTCATTATGAAAGAACTCTGATGTCCATTTGCAGAGCTCATGTGGGTTGCTCTCCACTCTCTTATTGCAGTTAGATCAAGATGATGTCTATTTGTCATATCTTCCACTAGCCCATGTCTTTGATAGAATGTTTGAGGAAGTGTTCATTTACCATGGATCAAAAATTGGATTTTGGCGTCGGGTATGGTTCTTGGGTACTCCTTGTGTCCTTGCTGACCTCTAGGCAATAATGCATATTGATATTTGTGTTATGTATATGTAGGATGTCAAACTATTGGTTGATGACATTGCAGCACTAAAACCAACAGTATTATGTGCTGTTCCACGTGTGCTGGACAGGATATATTCAGGTATAAATTCGAAATGTCGAATGTTAACACGTGAATGTTTAGCTGATCAGTTGTTTTGTATAATACCTGAATGGGTTTAGTTGCCTATAAAGTAAGCTGGATTACAATTATTTTGTGGGAGTAAAATATCTCTCTAATTGATTCAATACCCAGATATATCCCGGTTCTGTTATGTCATCATGTTTAGAATACAATGTTTCTTGTGATTTCCTATTTCCAAAGGCACTCATAAAATTCATGTTACAGGCTTACAGCTGACGCATACCCAAAACTGTTTGCAGTAGTCCTTTTCATAGGTTGATCCGTTGATAGTCAGTTTACTTTAAGTGGAGATAGTTGTAGTTTTCAAGAAATAGAGATCACGTAAGATAGACTTTGGTGGAAGGTTACATGTGATTTATTCCTGTGATTGCCCTCTTCTATGGAATTAGCTTATGTCTGATGCATTTTTTATGTTTATGCAGGTTTTACAGCTAGGATTTCGTCTGGTGGTATACTGAAGAAAACTTTATTCAACATTGCTTATAAGATGTAAGCGTGCATGCAGTTAATACTGAGAAGACTATTTTCCTTTGTGCGGAGTGCTCAAAACTGGCAGGATGGCCATTTAGTTTCTTACGGTGTTCTTGTTATGTCATTCCACACTGTGTGTGATTCTATTGCTTTCTTAATTTTTACCGTATCATGCCTTTGCATTCTGTAAACTATTACATGCCCGATTCAATTTTTGAGTTACTAGAAATTAGCATATCACCAGGAAACTGGACAACATGAGGAAAGGAATTAAACATGAGAAGGCAGCCCCATTCTTTGACAAATTAGTTTTCAGCAAGGTACAAGTTGATAACTCGTAGCAGCATTTTGTAACCCATCAGATGTAATTGAAAATGCCGGTGCAGCTTCGGCAGTATGTTGTTATTCTAACTTCATGCTTATCTTTAAGGTGAAAGAAAGGCTTGGTGGAAAATTAAGACTTATTATATCTGGAGGTGCCCCTCTAGCTGTACCAGTGGAAGAATTTTTGAGGGTTGTGACATGTGCTTATGTTGTTCAAGGCTATGGTATGGATCTTTCAATGTTGCGGTTCCTGGGTTCATATTATACATATGGACGACCCTGACCCCCCCCGACCCGTCCCTCTCCTCCGTCCTCCCCGAGCCGCCAGAACCCAATCCGCCCAGATCCGCTCCTTCCCCAGCCGCTCCTCCCCATCAGCACCCAGATTCGACACCACCATCGCCCGATCTATCCTTTGGTAGGTCACTCTCCAGCCCTCTCCTAGGTTTCGGCGAGTTCAAAGCCTCCGATGCTCCTACCCGTTCTCCGCTTGGGTCACCAGCGCCTCCGTCCGAGCATGGCTCGCACGCGGGCGGCAGCTGCGCCGGCGCCTGCTCGGGTTTGGCGACCACCGCCCTGCGCCGGCGCCCGCTCTAGGTCTGGCGCCCACCCTCTCCCAGCCTGCCCCAGGTCAGAAGGACGTCCAACTTAGCCGGCCGGTGCCCTCCTCATCGTCCCCACGCGCGGCTAGCGGCCTTTCCCCCTCCGCCCTTCCTTTCCACCCGGGAGGCGGCTCGATGGGGAGGTCAAAGCTCCGCCGGTGGGCCGACGAGGATGAGGATCTCCTCTCCGACGACTCAGTCGGCGATTGCTCTCCTTCGTCGTACCTAGAGGCCGCTCGCCGGGCGCTAGCTGCTACCCCAACTGCTCGGGCCTGTCCGCTGGATGTAGCGGCACCAGGCGCGATCGACTCTGCCGCCGCTGTTGTGGCCCCAACGGATGGCGATGGAGGAGCGACGAGGGTACGCCGCCCGTGGCGTCATCGTCGACGCCGTCAGCGCCAGCGCCACCGTCGGATGTGGCGCAAGGCCCATAATCGATCGGGTGGCCGAGGAGCCAAGGCGGCATCAGATCAGACGGATCCAGCGCGCCTGCGCGTGCCTGCACACCAACGGCTGGGGCCGCGCCGCCGCGTCTCAGCTCCAGACGATGAGGGGTGGCAGCTGCAGTGCCGGGGTGTCGTGCGTGAGGGGTGGCAGCGGCAGCTCCGGGGCCGGTGTCTCAATTGCTTGTCCTGGACACACCGCGTGGCGACATGCCGCCTCCCATGCCGGTGCCTACGCTGCAATGGTTTGGGCCACCTGGCCCGTGCCTGTAAGTATCCGCGAACGGTTCTGCTCCGGAGGTTGGCGGCGGGAGCCGGCTGCGTCGTCGCTTGGGCGCGCAGGCTGCTCGTCGACTGCAGCCACCTGCCCACGTTGGTCCGGCGGAGTCGGGTGGGGCTGTGCATTTGCCGTCTGCCGGCGTGCGCCTGTCGGCCGAGGCCGTCGGCGACGACACAAGAGGCGCCGAAGACGGCCACAGGAACGCACCAACGCCCCCTCCACCGACGCTGCGGCCGACCTCGTCGTGCCAGCCAGCGGGACGTGCCTTCCTTGGGTTGACCCGTTGACACTGTTGGTTTGGCATCACGACGTGCTCCCTGTTCGCGACACCACGGATGACCCGATGCTCGAGGAGTTTGTAGCCTCCATCGCCCCCAGCCGGATCGACCCGCAGTTGGCCGTCTTGGAGGAGCCCTCGGGCTCGGGGGTGGGGGTCCCAGCTGGAGGGTCGCTCCTTCCGGCGTAGCTTTGTGCTGGCCCATCTCGCTCGGCCGCTTCTTCGGACGAGGAGCACTCGGACCACGCGAGGACGCCATCCAGAGTTACTTCCCCGCCTATGGCCTTGTAGCCCATGGGCGCGGCGGCGGCTGTGGCGCCAGCTCCGGTGTCACCAAGTGCCATCTCACAGTATCTACAGTCGCAGCTTTCCTCTACCATCACGGAGCCGATCTTGGTCGAACCTCCACGTCTCCGTGTTCCTAGGAGGCGTCGTGCGGTTGAATGCACATCCTCACCGCCACGTCGTAGCGGGAGGCTTGCGGCCAAGAGTATATGCAGAGCCTCCAACCCGACCGTGCAAGCCCAGAACGTGCTGATGGCAAAATGGGGACTCTGCCAGTAGGATCAGGCGCCGCAGGCCGATGCGGAGGGCGATTTCGATAAGTACATGGCCGTATTCAGCGAGCCTCTCTCGGAGTCCAAGCGCGAGGCAATTAGGATGCTCTTCCCGGCTGGCTGCGCGATTGACGGCATCCAGCTGGTGGAGGGGGTTGAACTCGAGGTTTAGCCTACCTCTGGGTACCCGCTCTAGGCCGTCCAATCGTTGCCCATGGTCTAGTTTACTAGCTCGCTGTAGCTTAGCCCGTTGTTGCTTTTAGTCCCTCTTGTGGTAGTAGCCGGGCTTCGTCGTAGTTTTCTTTAGTTTTTTCACTTCTATTTTTCTTCTTTCTCCTCGCCTGAGAAACCTTTGGTTACCTAGTGTTGAGCCGTTTGTTGTTTGGTTCGGTGTTGTCTACTTTCTCTTAATGAAATACGTGCTACACGGCACGTTCGAGAAAAAAATGTTGCGGTTCCTTTATTTAGTATAATGAAGCACCTGAGGACTTAATTTTTCTGCGATGTGGGGATTGATACTTTTAGATAATACTATGCACGTTTCAATGTTTAGGACTGACGGAAACTTGTGCGGGATCTATAGTTTCGATACCAAATGAATACTCCATGCTTGGGACTGTTGGTCCACCTGTTCCACATATAGATGTACGCCTCGAGTCAGTTCCAGAGATGGGTTATGATGCTTGAGAGATATGCATAAGGGGAAGTGTTCTGTTCTCTGGATACTACAAAAGAGAGGCCCTTGCGCAGGAAGTCATGATTGATGGCTGGTTTCACACTGGTTAGTTATTTCGGTAACTTCAACACAGTGTGCCAATTAACTATCTTTACACTGGTGGACATCATGAGTTTATCTTGTAAATAATGTTTGTAATTAAAATAGTCTTTGTAGTGCAGGAGATATTGGTGAGTGGCAACAAGATGGATCCTTAAAAGTGATTGATAGAAAGAAAAATATTTTCAAGCTTTCGCAGGGGAAATACGTTGCAGTGGAAAATCTAGAGAATGTATACGGTGTTCTTCAAGATATGGATTCAGTATGTAACAAACTCAATGAAAAATGCACTGTCTTAACAATTTTTCATGTTGCAACAGAAATTTTTATATTCATTTCTCCCATGCTTTTGGTGCTTGTGGAAAGAATTATCTATTTCTTCTTAATATAATGATATGCAGCTCTCTTGCATGTTCAAGGAAAAAATAATTATCTAGGTAACTTGATTTGAAATTGTTAGGAAAGTATTAATGGGTGTTGTTTGGTTGGAATAAAGCTCATTATAAGGCTCTGCTGAAGCCACATAAGTTTCTAAGTCCTGCTTGCTTGTAAAAGTAGTTTTGGTCATTATAAATATTTGTTACTCTTATTATAGATTATTTTCTTGAACTCTATAACGGCTATCTAAAAATGAAACTATATGAGGGGGGGGGATTCTCTTGTGTGCCTGTCTCTCATGTCCTTTTGCCTCTAACAGTGTGATAGGTATCCAAGATGTCATTTGTTCTTTGGTCTCTCTTGTATCCAGTTTACCATATACCCCCACCTTTTTATGTTTCTGTTAATCTATTTCAGATATGGGTATATGGGAATAGTTTTGAATCTTCTCTTATTGCTGTTGTCAATCCGAACCAACAAGCTCTTGAGCGCTGGGCGGAACAAAATGGTATTACTGGAAGTTTTGCTGAACTATGCGAGCATGCAAGAGCCAAAGAACATATTCTTTCAGAGCTCACAAAGATTGCGAAGGAAAAGAAGGTAAGCTATCCTAATTACGATTTCTACATTATTTGTTGCATTTAGATGTTTTTAAATGATTGTTCCATATTTTATCATCGAATTGCCAGCTGAAAGGCTTTGAGTTCATAAAAGCTATCCATCTTGACCCATTGCCATTTGATATCGAGCGCGATCTCATCACCCCGACATACAAGAAGAAACGGCCACAAATGCTCAAATACTACCAGGTTAGATGTCAACAGAACACAATTATCACCTCTCCCCCCCCAAAAAAAAACAAATGTATTTATTGACTTTTTTTATTTACTGACCTTCTAGTTCGTAAAGCAAGACAAATCTAAGACAGTTTCATTTATTTTGTTCAAAATTGTTCAGGGAGTAATCGATGCGCTTTACAAGAGCATGAAGTAAGACGGCACATTTGCGGAGCCGCAGGGGTATTTTTGTGAATTGTGAAGCACCGATTTGTCTCCATGTTATTTCAGTTGTTACTTGTATGATGGTATCTTATTGTGGTGTGTGGAATCACTTGGAGAGTTATGTATTATTGTATTGAGATAATAAGAGGAATAAAAATAAAAATAAAAATAGTTTGGGTACACAACGCGTGGTGCAGAGCGTGTGCACAGACTTTGAGCTAAAGGTTCTATTGAAATTAGTACATAAGCGCGCGATCAGACAACATTAAGCGCTAGGCACTAGGCTGATCAAATTAACTTAACTGAAGTCCATGATGGATAAAGATAATACACCGATCAGCCGTTCAGAGTCGTTGTCGGAGTGCAATCTAGAGGAAGAACTTCACACGCAACGGTGCCTTGGTCTTCCACACAACAGTTTGGCACCATGGGGTTGAGTTGCTCCGTGGAACATCACCTGATGTGCCGAGTGTGCTGTATATTCTCCATTGTTGGTCCAACGCCAGGAAAAGGAATCCACCACTCCCGGCTGCAGTTGGAAATGAGATAGCAAATCCCACAGCCAGAGATATTCTGGTAAATTGAAACCCCACAAGAGACAATTGTTCTGTCACCCCGGGGCTTGGGTTTCCGGAAGTACTATACAGCTTAGCTTCACTAGTGAATCAACTTTTTGTAGCTTCGACTCTAAAAGAAGCTCTACCAAAAGAGATGCATCTGTTTTGGTGAACCGTTTGGTAAAATAGCTTCTTTTGATGGTTGGAAAGAATAAAATACCCATAATACTTCCTTGTCCTTTTATTTCTCTTCTCTCTCTAGGTTATTTGCCACTGTTAGTAACATGTCATTTACCATCACCTTTGTGTTCTGCAATCTGCACAACGAGAGTTCTCTCATAGTTGTGTTATCTAATTCTCTTTCTCTTAATGAAACATGTGCTATTACATGATTGTAAAAAAAGGAACTCAGCTTTATAACCCGTATAACATCATGACTCATGTGCTACCATCTAGATTTTCCAACCGCACTATACTCCACAATTCATTGTACTAAAATATAATTGAATTTAATAGTTTGTAAAACTTAATTAAATATATTAAACGAAGAGTGCATGCATGCATATGTGCAGCATGGTGCATGCAAACCACATAGGCTAACAACTAAGTGCATGCAAACCACATATGTTAACACAACTAATTTAAAAATTTATCCAAAGGCAGGAGACTGACATCAACTACGGTCCAGAAAGATACTGTAGGCACACACCGTGGTGCCTCGAGTGCTTATCAAGGCAGATCGTGCTAGACTGTCCTACTCCCGGAAGGGAACAACTGCACCCATCTGTCCTTTATAGTAGGTACAGCACCGTAATCGCAACCACTAAAGCCTGTTTTAATTCACGGACTGAGAGATAGCAATAGATTTTATAGATCCACATGTCATATTTCTGCTCTACAACTCATATATATTTGTGGGTGAAATTTATCCAAGGCAGGGGACCAACATCCACTGCGGTCCTAACGACGCTTATAATTTATAATAGATAACGAGAGCTTCTGCTACCAAAATAAGCATCAAAATGAGCCCATCAAGATTCAAACAATTTGAAGCTAGCCACTGTAAGATAGAACATGATTTTAAGAAAAATGAAACTACTTTGAATTTTTTCAAGCTAAAAACAAAATTTCTATGAGCTCTTTAAGATTAAACTAGATTTTAGGATTTTTAATTGCATTATTTTTATGTAAAAATATTTGGATAAAATTTTGAAATTTATTTTTATAATTTTTGGATTTTTTTAGAAAAATCTTTGTAATGGATTTACCTTCATGAACTTTCAAGGTAGTCCGATTACACCCCCCACCGACGTGACACATCGTCAGCAAAATCACCCATGGCGCCAAAACAATTGTTTTAAAAGTTTCGTCAAGTTTCATCGTCGCTGTGCCACGCTTCGTGCGATGGAAAAAGTCTATTTGGCCTCCCTTGACTATTGTGCATGTCGGATTTACCTCTCTCTCAATTGTAAAACCAATTTTTAGACTCAACTTTTGAAACCATCCGATTGGCCTCCTTGTACGGTTTTGAAAACAAATTTTTAGCTGATGTGGTGCCACGTCAATCGTCTCTGTGTGGCGCCATATCAATCACGAGTGAGGTAAATCAGACTTTCGCAATAGTTCAAAGAGGTCAAGTAAACTTTATCAAAAAAATATAGAGATGTTTAATTATTCAAATATTTTTATAAAACAATATGCATTTAAAAATACTTAAAATATGATTTAACCTTAGAAAATTCATAACCTTACAAAAAAGTGTTTCAACTCAGAAATTGGACCTTAGAAAATTATTTCTAATTCAAAAAAATGAAAACCAATTTTATATTTTTTAATCTCGTAGATCCGAGGCCCGCCGCCACCTTACGCGTCGGCCGCCCGCGAGGTTTGGACGAGGACGCCGGAGTCGCGTCGGCGGGCAAGGCTCTGCTCCGGATTCGTCCCCACGTACGCAAGCCGGAAACTGCACCATCGTACGTACGTGGGAATCTTGTACCCTAAAAAATAACTAATGTCATCGTTACGTGCTAATCAATCGCTTCACACCCACTGCCTATCGGCCGACTTCGACACCATGTTGGATAGCACTGTGCGTGTCGGACACACCGCGCGCAGTGTTATCGTCGTGTGCCTTTCTACATGTCATCGGAATAGAGTCCGCAACATGCAGCCACCTCGCCAATTATTTAAACGGACGCACCAACTCTCCCAAAGGCAAAAGCAATCACGTACAGGCCTAAAACAAAGCAATCACGTACGGGCCAAAGTGTTAGTTAATTAAAAAACAAAGCAATCAGCGTACATGCCCAAAAGGTAAAGAGTTATCGTCGCTTGCAAATTCAATCTCCTGTCCGCCCATATCTACAGAGTCTACGTTGGGATCGTCTGCTCGCCTCTGCCCGTGTCTGCAAAGTCCACGTCGACTACATCCTCCTAGAAATAGAAACAGAGCCTGAGAGGTGCTTGTGCAGTTGTGCCGTGTGAAGCCGGTACGTCGCCAACTACTATCCCGCGGCTAGCTGCAATGGGCTCAAACTCGTCGTGTACATCGCACGGGCTTCATGGTTCTCATAAGGGCGATCGCGTCAGGCGGCGGCAACGCGTCGAGAGGCGGCACCGCAGCAACACGTCGACCTGCAGCGCTGTGCCAAGAGGCACCAGCGCATCTGGTGGCGGCGTCTCGTCGGGCACCATCATCGCATATGGAAGAGGAAGCATCGCCCGTCGCGTAGAGACGAAGAGACATGACCTTTCCAGCTCTAGCACTGTACACAAAAAAAAGGAAAATAGAAAATAGAAAAAATAAGGAAAAAAGGGTGCAATGGCCGGAATACGAGAGGCACACGTACTGAGTGGCTATTTTACGAAAACAATAGCGGTGTCAAATATCCAATTTTCTGGGAAGGTTCGCGTCCTGGACAGCAGCAATGGAATGGTCTATCATCAATGCTTCATTCCCCGGAGGCAAATCCTACTATGTGGCCGATAAGTGGGAGCATGGCGAGCTGTGTTTTATTTCCAGTAAGGAGCAATGCTTTCAGCTTTGATTCTACAACAACATAGGTTAATAGGTGCTCATGAAAAATGTCTTGGCTATGTGGATAAAAAATCAAGGTCCCGTGCGGGGCATATATCTAGTACTATATAAAAGCCATCAACTTCCCTTTAATTTTAATCCCATCGAGCGCTTTGTATAAACAAAAGCCACGCGTTAGTCGTCATCCCGTCCTCCATCGGTTCCTGCTAGCGCTATTAGGGCATCGTCGTCATCTGCGGGCCATGGCGAAGAGGAGGTCGAGGAAGGCACCGCCGCCGCCCAAGAAGGTGCAGAAGGTCCCCACGGCCTTCGACTTCCCCTTCTGCAGCCACACCGGCAGCGTCCATTGCAGCATCGATCTCAAGAAGGACATGGTCGCCGTGGCGGCGTGCGGCGTCTGCAAGGAGGTTTACACCACCGTCGCCAACGCGCTCACGGAGCCTATCGACATCTACTCTGAGTGGATCGACGAGTGCGTGAAAGCCAACGAGGGCGTTGACGTCGACAGCCGCTGACCTAAGTGACAGTGCTATATATATATGCTGATGACGAGGGTTTGTTTCTGATCGTTTAGCTTCGATGGAGTTCGTGACATATGTATATAGATCTATTCGGCGTTCAAGCTTGTTGCCTGTTGCCTTTTGCTTTTGTTTTGCTGTATACATTATTACGGATGAGAATCAAAGATTTCATGGATGAAATTAAATACACATATACAAGTCTGAGCTTGTACTACATCGATTTCTTTATGAGAATGTCTAGCGCCTGCCGTCCGGCGCCGCGTGCGTCTGGACCCCTCAGCCCGCCCGCGTTCGCCTTCGCCGCCACCCCACATGCGGACGAGCAAGCCCCAGCGTGCCCCCTCGAACGCAGCACCCCCATCCGCCAGCTCTCGGTGCCCCAGTCCGCTAGCCCTCCGACACGCCGCTCGTCCACAACCCGCCGCGTCTACCTTTGCACCGCCCCACGCGCGCGACGAGTACGCCCCCCTCCCAACCGCAACGCCCCTGTCCGCTAGCCCCCGTCCGTCGGCCCCCGGCTCGTCCCCGGCCGAACAACATAAAATGCTCGAATAAAACACTTGCAACTTGCAACATAGAACAACTTGCTGCAACATAAGACTGAAACAGCTGAAACATTTGGAACATATTATTGCAACATTTGTGTGAAGCATATAAAACATCCCGATCAAAACGATTGCAACATACGTCTAGTAACAGGTCAAATATTTTGAACAAATGCTTGCAACATTCCTCTGAAACACTTGCAATATATGCAACATGTGTAATCTACTTTTGCAACATCAAGATGAAACAATTAAAACATACTTCTTAAACGTCTGAAACACTTGAAACATGCATTTGCAACATACGGGTCCTCCCTGCCGTGATGTCTTCGGCCGACCGCGGGAGACGATGTCCCGGCCAGCGATTACCTTCTCCCCGTGGTGCCGGGGTTGAAAGTGCAATCAAGCCCTAATTGTAGGTTTTGGTGATAATGACCACGTAATTAGAGAACTAATGAGATTTATCGAGATGACAAGCAGGGAATTCATGTTCGAGGATACTACACGAAACGGAGGAGTCCCCAATTACAAATGTAGATGCTCCAAACTCAAAGGAGGTTTAAATTCTTTTATATTTTGAATTTGAGTATAGGAAAAGCCATACTATAAAGGGGACACAATGATTAAGCTAATATGTACTACCAAGTGCTCAAACATACACATGCATCCTCAGATTCACAGCCAAGACAGTCTATACTTCACTCTTACCCTTGTTGTCTTGCGTGGTGCGGCATTGCCGCACTTGAAGAGAGGCACTGTCGCGACTTAAGTGACCGTTGGGGGCTGGGGGGTATTTATACCCTTCCCCTTCCTTCTCAACGGTACTCTACCTCTTCTTCCTCACTTCAGCACACCCAAAACAGAGCAGGAGCTCTCTCTCTCTCCCTCCATTGTTGACCTCAAGCCCCCAAGCACATCCATTGATTTCTCCATCAATCCTTAAGGGAAAATGGTCCAAAACTCGATTAGAGAGCAACTCCATTGATTCCCCAACTCTAAAAAGCACTTGGTTCATGTTTTGGCCGGCAGTTGTGTTTGTTACTCTTGGTGCTTGGCTCCTAGCCGGCTAGAGCATCGCTCGTAGAGCTTGCCAACTTGTGTGGCAGCCCCGGGAGGTTTGTAACCATCTCTTGAAGCTAGTAAACTCACCCCTCATCTCAAGAGTTAAGTCTCTTGACTTGAGAACGAGAAAGGGTTAGAAAGCCCTAAGCCTTAGTGGCTAACCTCAACAACGTGAGGTAGGCAAGCCTTGGTGGCGAGCCAAACCACATGATAAATCATTATGTCACTTGTGCTTGATTTACATTACTTGCATGACATATTGTGGTTGAGGTGATTTCTAGGGTTTCTAGTCGATCTACTTGTGTGTGGTGTTCCTACTATTTCTAGCTCTTGATCTGTGATTGTTATACCTGTAGTAAGCTAGAAAATTTCTCCGATCTAAGTTTTTGTTCACGGATTTTAAACTATGACTCAAAGTTGTCTGCAGGTGTGGCAGTACCGCAGTCCGACAGTGCCGCCCTCTAGAGCGGCAATGCCGCAGGGTGAATTTGATAAAAGTTTGAGTGTTTGTTTTGATAGGCCTATTCACCCACCTCTAGGTCAATCAGAGATCCTACAAGTGGTATCGGAGCAGGTTACCTCATATACGCTTCACCGCATGAGGTATGGAGCCCGGAGGAGGAACTAGTAGCATGAAGTGGGTGGATGTTGACATGGACAGCAGCGAGCTGAGCACATCGACAGCAAGTAATACCACACTACCACATCTTGAGGCTACCGATGCCGAAAGAGCTCTCGATGATAATGAGAGAAGAAGGAAGGAGGCAAGAAAGCGAAAAAGAGAAGCAAGAGAGAAGAAGGAGAAGCAACGGTTAGAGGAGAAGAAGCAAAGGAAAGAAGAAAGAAGGCTTAAGAGAGAAGCAAGAAGAAAAAGAAGAAGGAAGAAGAAGAGAAGGCAACAAGTGCATGATCAAGCATATCAAGTAGTTTCGAAGATGGAGATGATGATGAGTCATACCAAGTGTCGGAGGGGAACAAGAAGGAGAAAAAAGGAAAGGGCAAGGCCAACAACAACAAATATGCCGCCGTATCCTTTAACTACTCTTCTATTCTTATGACTAACCATGATCGGAGGTCTTTTATCAATGTGTCCATGGGCAAGTTACCTCATTTCAATGAGACTAACTTTGCCAAGTGGAAGCACTTGATGAGAGTTTATCTTATAGGTCTTCACCTCGACATTTGGGACATTGTTTGCAATGGATTTGAGCCACTGGTGATCCCAAGAACCCAACACTAGAAGAGATGAGAATCATTCACCTTAATGGTCAAGCCACAAGTGTGTTGCTTAGTGCCTTGGATGGTGATGAGTACAGTAGAGTGATTGGAGTTGATGTTGCCAAGCAAATATGTGACACTTTGCACCTAGCACATGAAGGGGTTAACAAAGTGAGAAAGGCAAGAATTGATTTATTGATGTCAAAGCTCAACCGATTTGTAATCTTGGATGGAGAGGGGCCATAAGAGATGTTTGATAGGTTGATGACGATGGTGGGCAAGATTAGAGGCTATGGTTGTGATGAGCTAGATGATTACAAAGTTGTCAAGATTATGTTGAAAGCTTATTCACCTAGAAATGAGACCGTAGTCACTCTAATTAGAGACAACAAGAAGTTTGAGTACTTCACACCAAATGATGTACTTGATATGATCTTGACCTTTGACATGCAAAGAGAAGAAGCAAATGAGAGGAAGAAACTTGAAGAATTGCAAGCAAAGTTAGAGGGCATCAAGATCAAAGATGTAGCTCTCAAGGCCAACAAATCAAGCAAGGAAGGCTCTACAAGCAAGTCCAAGATCAACCAACAAGCTTCAACTAGCAAGCCCAAAGCAAGCAAGCAAGTTCAAGAAAGAGTAGAGACCACATCATCTTCAAGTGAAAGTGAAAATAATGATGATCAATATGAGAAAGTTGATGATGTTGCTCTCTTTATGAAGAGGTATCACAAGGGGCTAAAGAAGCAAGGCTACAAGGTAGTGAAGAGAAGCTTTTCAAACAAGAAAAAGAGGACATGCTACAATTATGAAAGCACCGATCACTTCATTGCCAAGTGTCCATATGAGATCAAGGACAACAAATACAAGAAGGACAAGAAAGATGAGAAGGCCAACCGTAAAAAGAGCAAGAAGTACATGAGAGAGGCTCACATTGGGCATACATGGGACTCAACTAAAGAGAGCACAAGTGAAGAGGATAAGAAGGTTGCAACTATTGCTATTCACAAGTCATCCCCTACACCAAGGCTCTTCAACGACATGTCCGATGATGACTACGACTCCCCTCACATTTGTCATATGGCAAAGGGTGAGAAGGTAAAATCCAAATCGAAGGCCAAATCTCCTCCACCTCCTAGTGATATCTATAGTAGTGATATTAGTGATAGCTCTAGTGATGATGAATCTAGTGATGAAGAAATAAACATGATAACTAAAAATTTGGATGGAAAGACCAAATTATTCATCACTAAGCCAATGGAGGATTTGGAGTGTCCAAGCCGAGCTAGAATCTAGAGAAGAGACTCTTATCCAACAAGAGGATCTCTATATTGCTAGCAAAGAAGCTCTTGCATTAGAGAGAAGTGTGGTGGAATCCTTGCGCAAGGCTTTGGCCAAAGAGCAAGAGGACCATGCTATTACAAAGAAAGCAAATAAAGCTCTCAAGAAAAAGTATTGTGATTTTGATATAAATTACAAAGAAGTTGAGATGCAAAATGGCATTTTTTGATAGCAACTCACATCTCCCTAAGGCAAAGGAAACCTCTACTCCCTCTACTAGTTAAGGTTGTGAAAAATATTTTAATCTTGATTTGAATGCCTATTCCACTAACCTTGCAAACATGGAGGCTATGAGAAAGGAAATTGCTAGGCTCAATAAAGTCATTGCAAAAGGGTAGATAGCTAAGACCTAATCCAATGACAAGAAGAATGATGAATCAAAAGGGCCACAATTCAAGCAAGGAAGACATCCCTCAATCAAGCATGGGCTTGAACACACAAAAGGAGCCAAGACAAATGGAAGAAGGATAGTGAATGGCTATGAGTATGTGCAGTTTGAAAGGAAGAGCAAAATTGGTACAGATCAGCCTGCATAGACCACGCAGTGCAGCGTCCCCGAGCGACAGTGCCGCGGTGAAGGGCTACAGTGCCGCGCCCCGCAAAAATAAGAAGGCTACCAATTCTGCTCCTGATCAAACTAGCCCAAGAAGAAGGTGTACTAGAAGAAACAGGTTTTCTAGAAGCCTAAGAAATCAGTGTGGGCACCAAGAATAAGTTGCCTATCAACCGAAGACTTATGCACCTCAACAAAGCTTGACATCATGCTTTGTTCTGAGGAACAACAGCAGTAGAAAAGTGGTTGCAAAATATGTTGAAAAGGAAACCAACATA